CCCCAACCCCTGGTCCGCAGCCTGGTACCAAGCCATGGCCTTGGCAGAACTGATCCGCAGTCACAGATCTCCCGCCTCCCCCGCATGCATGCCCCCCAGGCAAGCATGCACATACACTCCCCACATACATACATGCACACACAGATGCATGCACACATGGATGTCTCACCCACCCACGCACGGGTGCCCCTCCCCCCACGCTAAACTGGTCCACGGTTTGGAAAAGGTTGGGGACCCCTGGTGTAGACCATCTTGACTGCTGCCCTTGTCAACATTCAGGCTGCCCTTTGCTACGTAAAGCTTGGCCTATGTTTTCCCCCGCTGGCAACGGGGGAAAAAGTATGCCATTTCCTGACATTTTGAATCATGGCAAGAGAAGCACAATATCTCACATTCATAAAACAGAGGGTTTTTTTTTAAAGAACTGAACTTTTGTAAAAGCCAGGCTTGTGATCTGCTAGGCTCATAACATTTGATGTTCCTTGGCTCTTACACAGATCATAACAGTAGACAGCTGGGGCTTTTTAAAGAAGTAAATTAGGCAATCAACATTGCCTCACTTAATCTATAAAAGCGGAAGCAACACCACAAAGATAAATGAAAATGCTTGAGCAAAGCTCTTTTTAACCAAGTGAAGGCCGCTTTATGGAAGGTAAGAGAATGATTTGAATGGTGCTATATGATTAGAGCTTGAAAAACTTGTTATCTGGTCCTTTGTTACTTATCATTTCATTTAAACTTGCTTATCTGGCCAAGATCCTATAATCTCTCAGCCAGGATGGCTATTGGCTTCTTGCTGTGATATTTCAGGAGCCTTTTCCAAGTTCTGCTTATGATTTTGGCAGTCTTCTGTTGTTAAACAGGGTGGGTCATACTGGAGCCAAAGGAGGGTCTGTCTAGGCCATCTTTCCCCAAATGGGGTGCCTGCCAGATGTTTTGGACTACAAGTCCTATAAGCGCCAGATACCAGAACCTATGTTTGAGGATCGTGAGCAGAAACTATCTGGAGGCTACCAAGGGAAAATGGTTCAAATGAGTCTAATTTGGTGGTATAATGTAGACAGCATGGTACGTATGTAAGCATGGTTGCAATGGGTAAGTAGATATGCTACGGTAGTAAATTATTGTAGGTAATTGTATTGTAGTAAAATGCAGGACCCCTAACTCTTCTGCTCTGTTCTCTCTACCTTTCACTTTCCACAGAAGGTGATCTGCTCTCTTCCAATGGTCAGTTTTTATTTTAATTCAGGGGTTTTCAGTAGCAATGAACAGCACTGGGTGCCAAAAAGCAAGTTCTAGTGTGGCTTCCTTCCAAAGAAGCAAGTAAAGGATAGCAGTTGTGGTCCTACTGTGATGCCTCGCAAGACGAAATTAATTCATTCCACGAGTCATGTCGTATTGCGAAATTTTCGTCTTGCAAAGCGCGGTACTAATGGTTGTGCGATTTAAAACAAACCAAAAAAGGAAGAAAACTCATCTTGCAAAGCACGGCCACAGAAAATTCGTCTTGCGAAGCACAGGCATAGAAAAATTCATCTTGCGAGTCACCAAAAATTGCAAGACGCTTTCGTCTTGCGAATTTTTCATTGCGTGGGGCATTCGTCTTCAGCATCACTGTACTTCAGTTTAAACATTATGTCACAACTCTCTCTCTCTCACACACACAGACACAAACAAACACATATGAAAGAAAAGTTTTCCTAGAACACCTTGTGTCCTTGTGCTACCTCTGCTTTTCCCCCTAACTAGAGGTGGGCATGAACCACTGGATTTGTTAGTGGTAGAGATGGTTAATTGGTTCATGCCAGTCCATCCTTCAGACAAACAGGTGGTTAGCAGTTCCCAGCCCCAGCCCCTCCAATGGGCGCCCACTCAGAGGCACAACCCAGCTTCTCGATCCCGGCTCCTCCAGGCACTGCCCACAAGAGGTGATGGGGCTGGGAAGCACCAAACACCTGTTCATCCAAAGGATAAACCAGTATGAACCAATGAACCAGTGGTCTGCGCCCATCTAACATAATAATACCATAATAATACCCATCTACCTCTAACAAACCCATCTCCTGCTATTACACTACTGCTGAAAGCTCTTAGCCACATTCTGTATATTTCTGTACTTTGCACAGTCTCACTTCTAAATAGGTTTTGTTATTTAACTAACTGTATTAGTTCCTCATAAATAAAAATTAAGAATGTTTGATGAAGTGCCTATGGACCTGCTTTACTCAAAAGCCAGAAAGAGACATTAAAGATATTCTGTGACTAGAAAAGGAAAATCCTGAACAAATAGAAGCCCCTGAGTGTCACAGCAGGAGTTTTTCTCACCTCCCAGATTATGCAAATAAGTTTGCTTTGTTGTGTGATCAGTCTTTAGGATTTAGGATTTATTTGAAGTCTTGACTGCACAAACCAGAAAAGACTGCTCCAGTCACCTCTTTGTAACATGAACATGCTTTCAAAGCTATCTGTTCCTTCAGTTTCTTGCCCAAATCAGATTATTACTACTGTACACTGGTTAAGACAATAGGAACTGCAGCCCAACACCAACCTGACACTCACAAGTTTCCCATGCATGATCCAAGTTCACTTACTGTGACTTGAGTCTTCAGGGACTCAAAATAGGTCCTTCTCCTTACCTTTTATTCAACCTTTTTTTTTTT